GGGTATCGATTGGATCGAGGTAAGTGGTGCATGTATCCTTTATCTTTTGAATGATAAATTTTGAAAGCTTGCTAAAATGGCATGAGCAAGTATAATTTGTGATATTCATTATTACTCTTGCCATGGTCATTTGTGAAATGAAATATTATGTTTGTTGAGCTCTTGTATAAGCGACTTTTGACAGGACTAGTTCCTCACAAGTAGTTGGTATATGAAACGAGCTATCTGTGTTGTAGTGAGCAATATGAAACGGGCTAACTATGTGTGGTTAGCACTATGAACTGTGTTAACTGGTTAAGTTTAAGTTAACAACTGGATATCTTGGGTCAATTGTTGTCTTATGGTTTGAGCTCCTTTGTGTGTGTGATGTATGATATGCCATTGAAATGTTTATAGTAACCATGTTCTTATAAAGTTATATGTGTAAGTTAATGACGTTTGAAATATATATTATGTATGTAACATGCTCAGGCCAATAATGAGATACATGCACTACTTATTGAGTGAGATTTTGCTCACCCCTTTGTTATAATTATGCAGTTAATGATGAGTTCATTGAAGTAGACCTTGATAGCTCTTGGGGGTTGTAATGGAGATGGGGATAACTTTGGGTTAGAGGATGACTTTTGTACTTATATATAAGATACCTTATGATAGGATTTGAATTTTGTACATAATGTAGAAGGTTTGATCTTGCTTTTATTGCTTTTATTTTGGAAGACACAAAATTGCTGTTATAGATGATCTAGTATTTGCGGATTTAAAATGTTTATATAAAGGTGAATGTAGTTGCTTAGGAAATTTGTTGTCTTACGCCTTTAGCATTGTCTAGGGCACGGTGGTGCTACGTTCTGGGCATGGGGCGTGACAATTATACCCAAAAAATCATTATGAGAGATGAATTCCACAAATCCAATATATATGGGAGGCTAATTTACACATATACATGTATATGTGTGAAAAGAACAATGATATTAATGATAAAATATTAATAACACCACAAGAACAAGACTATTAAACTTTCAATCTTCTCAAGTGGGTATGATAATATGACTCTACTTATAGATTACATGATTTGATAAACAAGTATTGATAACTACAATAATTATCTAATACAGTACCAATTTCTAAATAATTATTTTAACTTTTTCTTTAATTTTTTCTAATCAAGGGGAGGGATAGGATTTAAGAAATGGGGGGGGGGGGAGGAACGGAGATCTGAACGTAGAACCTCTATGTCCTAGAGCCTCCAATTCTTGAATGTACTACCAGAACTTAGCTCTTATAGAACTACTAAAAAAATTTGTGTGACCAAAATACTACTAAATAATAGTATAGAAAATTCAAATTTTTAGCTTTAATTTAATATGCCAACATTGTTTCCCTTAAATCAAACTCTCTATTGAATCAAGTTCAGCAATAATAATCTCATTTGTAAATTTCATTAATAGAAATTTGAATTCTTAATCTTCAAAAAGATTTGTTGCTGCAATACTCCATGCATTTGGACAGGTTCATCTCATGTTTTTACCCAATTCACTCATTTAAATTTTTTCATAAAAATTATAGGAGAAATATTGCAAAAAAATAAAACATGGTTCTCTTTCAAGAAAATATGTAATATTCTCTTAATCAATTTTAGTTGTAGCCTGTCATTGGATTTTTACTTGTATAAGTTTTGGATGCATTATTATCTCATTAGTAATATACAAAAAAAGCCTATTTTATTTTTCTTTCACAGGAAAGAATAACTTTAGAAAGAAAATGATAGGAAAAATGATAAAATAGAGGAGCAGTATAAACTAGAAAATGTTCAAATAAAATAGGCAAAAATGATAGAAAATTTGTGAAATATTAAAGATTACCTAGAAAAGATATTTAATCACAAGAAAGGAAGAAAAATTGAGCAATATTTGATCCAAAGGTAAGTTTCGATCAATTTGAAGAGTGAAGGCTGGAAGTGAAAAGTTAAAATCATAGAGGTTGTTTATGCTTGTCAATTTGAGAAAATAAGAATATTAAAAGAAGGAAGCAAAAAATTAAAATCATAACAGTTGCATATGTGAATTTGTAGAGTCTCGATTTATGTGTTGTTTATGTATTCTTATAGGAGGTTGATTATATTATTTTAGTTCTTAAACTATAAAATTTAATACAAAACCATTTATTTTAAGAGTAGTGCTAGGTGGGAAGTGAGTAACATTTTTTCAAAATTCTTAATGTGTCAAAAACATGCAAGTCATATCAACCAACGGATTGGCCCAATACAACCCATTCTATTTGTGCATCATCATGTTCGTGTGGATCCATTTTTGACATAAATTATCCCGTGTCATGTTTCATTTAGGATTTTGTGTTTTGTTTACGTACCATGTAAAAAATTGTCACCATTAGCAATATCCACAATCAAGTTCATAATTTTCACACCAATTTTATGGCCAAATTTTGACCAATTAAATACTCCAAAACCAACATAATGGCCTTATGTGATCAATTGAACAGTCCCGGCAAATCTTGTGTCCGAACTCTAACAACTCACCCAAAGATTAATTTCATGAAAATAGGATTCGATACCAGATGTAGAGCCTAATAATTATACCCAAGAAAAATTATAGGAGATAACTTTCACAAAACCAATATATATATATATATATATATATATATATAGAGGCTAATTTACATGAAGAGGACTAATATCAATAACAAGACTCAAGCTTTTATTGTTCCAAATAAATACTGATAGAGCAGTTATTTGGCACATTTTACACTGTTATTTTGTCATAATTTTGGCTACTTACTGTGCTAAGTATTGAGGTTTTGCTCATATTTCATATTTGTATAAGTTATAGATGACTGGCGTTAAAAGTAATCTCTTGAGGCAAATTTTCAGAAGACCCTTCATTTCAGGGCGTGCCCACGCCAGAAAAGGTAGATGTTGCCAAAAAGCCGGATCCGCGGGACCAATAGCAGGAGACCTAATTAAGAAACCCGGTCTACGTGGACCAGATGCGTGAGATCAGAGCCCTGGGACAAAAAGCCTTGTTCCTAATGCTTTACTACTGGCGGCGCTACAAATAAGAAGAAGCGAGATTCACGTGATATCAATACCTTAGTTTTAGTTTTCTTTTGCGAGATATGTCAGACGTTTTGCTTTTCTTTTTGGGTAGCAATCAATTAGGCTAGCTTTTGTTTCTTTTCACTGTCAGACGCTTTTTCCCTTTTTCTTCTCGACAGCAATTAGAATAGCCTTTTGCTTTGTAATTGCGGCTCCAATATGAAGACGAAGCCAGGTTTCCCTTTGTTATTATTTCGATTAATTCACCTTCCCCAATTCCTCGACAATTAATTTCTGGGCAATTGTGTGGATGATATTAATCAAATCACACGAGATTAACATGATGAGGAGTGGCTAATTCTCTCCTCTACCCAAAGGTTGACGTGAAGGCGTGGTCTATAATATCTGTGAGATCTAATCGAATCTTCATTATTTCTTCTAATTTGTTGCTATTCGTGCGTTTCCTGAATTAATTATTCATGAGTATTTTATTAATTGAATATCAACGGCCGGGTATTTGATTTAATTTAATAGCCTACTGTCACATTAACTAAATTGAATCCGTAATTGTTCGTTTAGTTGATACCTAATGACAACCACCATAATTGACTTTATGTTGGGGAAACGTAAGATCTAGTTTAAATAAACCCTCTTAGCGTGTTTATTAGTTAGGGTTAAGTTCTTCTAACTTTAATGCAATTGGATAATTAAATTCCTACGGTCATACCTAAGTTGTTATCTGGTTAGAAAAGCAGTCAATGGTCGTACCTTGACTGTCGAAAAAGTAAGGAAGAACTGGTTGTCAGAGCTTATTGATAACTATAACCAACCTAATGATGAATGGATGAAATATCTTTGCATCGATGATCATTTAATTGGACCGTGCCTGAGCAGTTGATCCTTTGGGTAGAATTTTATTAATTGCTACTTTTAGTAACTTGTGCTTTGTGAATTAGTTTTGAATTTAGTTTGCTTTATTTTTATTCTTATTTTTTATTTGCCTCCCATTAAAAATCCCCCAATTTTATTCTATTGACTTGGAAAGAAATAATTTCCTACCCGCTCCCTGTTGAATCGACCCTACTTGCCATTGTACGCAAAATTAATATTTGTATAGACAAATCTGGTATATCGGATCAAACAAACTCTTCGGGAACAGGGTGAATCAAGTAACCCATTGCACACCTAGGGTCCCTGCTCCAGTACTTGGATTTGTTCTATAATTAATTGTGGTGGTAATTAGGACTTTTTAGTAATTATTATTACACAGGTTCGGCACCTGTCAATTTTTGGCGCCGTTGCCGGGAAGCGGTGTTTTGGTTAATTTTGTTTCCTTCTAAGTTGTTTTATTTGGATTTGTCTGGCATTTTTCTAGTTTATGCCTCGTTCTTCTCGCACAGGTGAATTGATTTTTGATCCAGAGGTAGAGAAGACTGAACGCCGAACTAGAAAAAAGACTAGACAACTCAGAGAGGAGCGGTCTAGCATAGCTTCTCAGGAACTAGATTCAGAGATCGAATCATCAGATTCAAGTGGTGATAGTTTAAGTGACCAAGGCCAAGAGGACATCCTTATGGCGAATGCAAGGACACTAAGGGAGTTGGCTGCTCCAGAATTGCCCCAGCAGCCCTTGTGCATTACATTTCCAATATTGGCTGAAAATACCTCATTCGAACTGAAGTCGGGGCTAATTCACCTCCTACCCACATTCCATGGCCTCTCGGGTGAGGAGCCCCATAAACACATTCAAGAGTTCGACATGGTATGCTCCATTATGAAGCCTCCAGGCATTACTGAGGAGCAGATTAAACTCAGAGCCTTCCCCTTCTTTCTTAAGGATGCAGCGAATGATTGATTGTACTATCTACCTGCAGGTAGTATCATCACATGGGACCAACTCAAAAAAAAATTCTTAGAAAAGTTTTTCCCTGCGTCCCGAGCTGCAAGTCTAAGAAAAGAGATATGCGGCATTAAGCAGTACCCTGGAGAATCCCTATACGACTATTGGGAGAGGTTCAATAAGTTGTGCACTAGATGCCTACAGCATCAGATTAGTGACCAACTGTTGATCCAATATTTCTATGAGGGACTACAGTCGTCGAATAGGAGTATCATTGATGCTGCGAGTGGGGGAGCATTGGTGAACAAGACACCAAGGGAAGCATGGCTAGTTATTGAATCGATGGCGGAAAATTCCCAACAGTTTGGTTTTCGTGAAAGTAACCCTACCCGTAGGGTTAATGAGGTAGAGACGTCGTCCATTCAGCTGAGTTAACGTCTTTCATGCGGCAATTAGCCGTGGGGAACGTGCAACAAGCAAAGATCTGTGGAATTTGCACAAATGTGGGCCATCCCACTGACTCATGCCCCTTGTTGCAAGAGGATGGGGCTGAACAAGTGAACATGGCTGGAGGCGCGCCCGCGCCTCGCAGGCAGTACGACCCATACTCCAACACGTACAATCCGGGTTGGAGGGACCACCCCAATTTCAGCTACGGGAATAGGCCACAAAATTCATTTTCAAATTGCCCACCGGGATTCCAACAACCGTGGCAACCAAAGCCACAACCTTCGTCATCTAACTCAGGAAGCTCTTTGGAGGAAATCGTCAAGAGCTTAGCCATGAGCACCACTCAGTTCCAACAGGAGACTAGAGCGGGTATGAAAAACCTAGAGAACCAGATAAGCCATATGGCAACCGCGATTAATCGCTTGGAGTCCCAAGTTTTTGGAAAATTACCATCGCAGCCCGAGGCAAACCCCAAGAATGTTAGTGCCATGACACTGAGGATTGGTAGAGAAGTGGAAGGGTCCAAAGCCACGAACTTGAAAAGTAAGAGTGAAGATGAAATCGAGAAGGAGATGGAAGAGGAATGACACATCCGTGTCAATCCTGAGGTAACTCTTACTCAATCGGTGCCTATTAAATCTAATTTACCCCCTTTTCCTTGCAGGTTAGAGAAGGCGAAGAAGGCGGAAAAGGAGAAAGAGATCCTGGACGTGTTCAGAAAAGTAGAGGTCAACATCCCTTTGTTGGATGCAATCAAGCAAGTACCGAAATACGTGAAATTTCTCAAGGACTTGTGCACCCATAAGAGGAAGTTGAGAGGGGATGAAAGAGTAGCGGTAGGGGAGAACGTGTCGGCCATGCTCTAAAGGAAGCTTCCACCCAAGTGTGAAGATCCAGATATGTTCACGATCCCCTGTAAGATAGGGAATACACCGATCACAAGAGCCATGCTAGATTTGGGGGCGTCAATTAATGTGATGCCGAAAACTATTTTTGCTTCTCTAAACCTTGGGCCACTAAAAGAAACAGCCATCATAATCCAACTAGCCGATCGCACTAACGCCTACCTAGAAGGGATAGTTGAGGATGTTTTAGTTCAGGCAAATGAATTAGTTTTTCCTATAGACTTTTATATCCTGGACATGGGACATGAAAAGTCGTTCAATCCGTCGCCTATTTTGTTAGGTAGACCGTTTCTTAGCACTGCCAGGACTAAGATAGATATGAACGATGGTACTTTATCAATGGAATTTGATGGTGAAATGGTGCATTTTAATATTTTTGAGGCGATGAAATATCCAGAAGGTTCTAAATCAGTCTTTGCTTTGAGTGTTATTGAGGCTCTTGTACAGGAAACTTTCGAGTTAGGTGGTGAAAACGCACTACAAGTGGCCCTAAAAAAGCATCTTGAGTTGGGAGTGACCCCTGATGTGGACATAAGGGACGAGTTGCATCGAGTAATTGAAGCATTACATTCACTCCCAACCATTCAACCCAGGTATGAGCTCACTTCCCTTTTTATGCTAGAAACTCACGCAAAATTATTGCCATCGGTGGTGCAGGCACCCGAATTAGAATTCAAACCTCTCCCCAAGCATTTGAAGTATGTATTCCTGGGAGACAGAGAGACACTTCCTATGATTATTTCTGCGCATCTGTCTCCCAGTCAGGAGAAAAGACTGGTGCGACTCCTTAGGGATCATAAGGAGGCAATCGGGTGGAGCATAGCCGATATCAAGGGGATAAACCCGTCCTTGTGCATGCACCGGATAAGACTCGAGGATGATGCAAAGCCGGTGAGGCAAGCACAGCGAAGACTGAACCCCTTAATGATGGAGGTTGTGAAGAAGGAGATACTCAAACTCCTGGAGGTGGGGATCATCTTCGCTATTTCGGACAGTTCCTGGGTGAGCCCGATTCAGGTGGTCCCGAAGAAAGCGGGAGTAACCGTGGAGGAGAACCAAGAGGGTGATATGGTCCCGGTTAGGAAAGCTACTGGTTGGCGTCAGTACATTGACTACGGGAGATTAAACTCTGTGACAAAAAAGGACCATTTTCCTCTCCCCCTTTATCGACCAAACGATTGAGAGATTGGCAGGTCGTGTTTACTATTATTTTTTAGATGATTTTTCAGGGTACTTCCAGATCGCGATAGCACCGGAGGACCAGGAGAAGACCACGTTCACCTGCCCATTTGGTACGTTTGCTTACCGTAGGATGCCTTTCGGTCTTTGCAATGCTCCAACAACTTTTCAAAGGTGCATGGTAAGTATTTTCTCAGAGTATGTAGAAAAGATAATCGCGGTGTTCATGGATGACTTTAGTGTATACGGGGATAGTTTTGAGGAATGCCTTGACAATCTTACTTTAATTTTAAAAAGATGCATAGAGACGAATTTGGTACTTAATTGGGAAAAATGTCACTTTATGGTAGATCACGGCATTGTCTTAGGCACGTTGTGTCGGCTAAGAGAATAGAGGTAGATAAAGCTAAAATGGGCCTTATTTCTGCTCTACCTTACCCCGTATATGTACGGGAACTACGTTCGTTTTTGGGCCATGCAGGATTTTACAGGAGGTTTATCAAAGACTTTTCAAAGATAGGAGCACCCCTGTTCAAGTTACTGCAGAAGGACGTGTCATTTGATTTCACAAATGAATGCAAGGTGGCTTTTGATAAATTGAAGGAATCGTTGACATCACCGCTCGTCATTCAAGCCCCAGATTGGAGCCTTCCGTTTGAATTCATGTGCGACGCGAGTGACTATACCGTGAGGGCCATGCTGGGGCAAAGGATAGGCAAGGCGGCACACGCGATCTACTATGCATTAAGAGCATTGAGTGGAGCCCAACTTAATTACTCCACGACGGAGAAAGAATTACTTGCATTGTTTTTGCACTAGAAAAATTTAGGTCATATTTATTGGGTGCAAAAGTGATTATTTTCTCTGACCATACAGCCTTGCGGTACCTGTTGGCGAAGAAGGATGAAAAATCGAGGCTTATAAGGTGGATTTTGCTCCTGCAGGAGTTCGACCTTGAAATCAGGGATAAGAGCGGAGCCGAGAATTTGGTGGCTGATCATTTGAGTCGGTTGCTCACAAATCAAGAGGATCTACCGTTGAGAGAATCATTCCCTAAAGAGCAACTACTAGCCATTGATTCGTCGGTACCTTGGTATGCTGACATTGTCAATTTTTTGGTAACGAATCAATTACCTGCAGGTTGGTCCAAAGCTAAAAGAGATAAGCTAAAGAGTGATGCCAAACATTATTTTTGGGATGACCCGTACCTGTTGAGGCAATGTTCGGATCAAGTACTTAGACGGTGTGTAAGTGCCGGTGAGTTTCATTCTATTTTGATTTTCTGTCATTCGTTTGCATGTGGAGGACATTTTGGTCCAAAGCGGACGGCTCGTAAAGTGTTAGAAAATAGTTTTTATTAGCCTACACTTTTTAAGGATGCATTTTTGTTCTGCAAATCTTGTGATAAGTGTCAAAGAGTGGGGAATATCTCTCGTAGAGACCAAATGAGTCAAATCCCCATATTATTTGTTGAGATTTTTGATGTCTGGGGCATAGATTTCATGGGTCCTTTCCCCTCGTCCTTTGGTTTCTTATATATTATACTTGCCGTCGATTATGTTTCCAAATGAGTGGAGGCAAAAGCCACCCGGACTAACGATTCGAGAGTGGTTGCAGAATTTATCAAATCTAACATATTTGTCCGTTTTGGAATGCCAAGAGCTATAGTGAGTGACAGGGGCACCCATTTCTGCAATAAGACAATCACTGCATTCTTTCGTAAGTATGGTGTGCTCCATAAAGTGTCCACTCCATATCATCCACAAACGAATGGTCAGGCCGAAGTGTCGAATAGGGAAGTTAAGTCAATCCTGGAGAAGATGGTGCGGCCTAATAGGAAAGACTGGAGTTTGAAGCTGGAATATGCTCTCTGGGCTTACCGCTTCGCGTACAAAACACCAATTGGGATGTCCCCATACAGGTTAGTCTTTGGGAGGCCCTGCCACCTCCCTGTGGAATTTGAACACCGAGCGTTCTGGGCGCTTAAGAGGTGTAACATGGACCTTATGGAGGCCAGAGGACATAGAAAGCTCGAACTACAAGAATTGGAGGAACTGAGAAATGAACCCTATGAGAACGTGGCAATTTATAAGGAGAGAAGCAAAATCGGAAATCTAAAGTTTGAAAACAGAGAAAAAGTTCGTAGTCAATGGTCATCGTTTGAAACCCTATTATGAAGGGTTTAATAGTGAGCAAGTAGAGGTTATATTCCTTGATGATCCAAGTGGTGAGGTCTAAACAACTGATGGCCATGTCTAGCCAAAGACGTTAAAGAAAGGCGCTGTTTGGGAGGCAACCCAAGGATTACAGTATTAGTTGTGATCATTCTTCATTACTCTGCTATTTTTTCAGTTTTATTTTACTATTTTGATTGTTTTTGTGGTAATGGACAGAAGACTAGCAGTTCTAAGGCATGCCCACGCCTTGGAAGGGGTGCACCGGGTGTCCTGAGCAGGTGGGAGACTGGCAGCCCCAAGGCGTGCCCGCGCCTTGACAAAAAAATTCTTTTGAGCATCATTAGGATGCGATGGTCAGAAGACCAGGTCCTCCAAGGCGTGCCCACGCCTTCCAACCATTCCGATAACGAAAGTCAAAGAAAAAGAGGGTTTTTGACCAAGACCCTACTTTTCCACTTTGCTTTCTTCTTTGTTTGGTCTTGCCCAGTACCTCTGTCTAAGT